CAACCTTTGCATGATGCCAATTGCAAGATTTTTTTTATTTTATTTTTTTTTTATTTTTACATGGACATCAGCATCTATGCTTTCAAACTTATTCTCAAGGTTTCACTGATGTGATTTTTACCTGTATGTAAAGAGTCCAAATAAGCTGTATAAAACAGAGCAGTTGCTTAGGGCAGAAATAGGACTTAATTTTGGAAAGGCCTGTGTGGATTGCCTACACAGAAATGAAATTCAGGTACTGTTAGATAGACTCTTTCCTTCATACTATGTATCAGAGCTGTCAAGCAAGTTCTAGTGTTCTTTCTGCTTTATCACAAATCTCCTACCTGTAGGTAGGTCCCTTAAAACACTGAAAAAAGAGTATATATCCTCCTTATATGGAGGAAAGTTTGGAAAAGGAACTTAATGGCATAAAATGAGTGAAAAAAGAGAAAAGGAGAACTGTTGTGTTTTCCATTTCTTCTCCTCCTCCATGGTTTTAAGCCAACCTGCCAATTTATGATTTCTTATTGTTTGGATTTGGCACTATTGCATCACGAACTCTGTTATGAATGACTGCATGTTCTTTCTTTCGGACTGTAAACTTCTTTGGACAGGAACTATTGTTTACTATACTTTTGTACCGCAACTTGCCCAATCTTTGGGTCAGAGGTCTGTGGGCGACTTCACTCATCGAGTAATAAGGGATGGGCAATGACTTATCATGCTCTCCCTGGCAAACCCAGTCTTAACAGGTTGCCCATAAACTGTGGTTTGGGAATCATTGGTCTAAGATCACTTGTTTATTTAACATACTCCACACTTGTAGCCTAAGAATTATCTTCTCTTGACTACGCTAAGCATAATTGTCATGGCACAGTGCAAAATATTTATGTAGCCTTTTAATTTTTTATTATTGTATTTTTTGGTATTAGTTTGCTTATTTATAATTTCAAAAGACACTAATGCAACTAGGTGCCTTTGAAATCCTTGCTTATTTTTGGTAATGCTTGTAGGCTTATTTGGGCAGATGGCTTTTTTTAGTAAATCACTCTTTTTTTGAGAAGATACAATCCAGATTGCCTCTACCCTGAGAGCTTATAAGTTAAAACTCCCCTACTATTACATATAGTTCCATGTGGCTTGAAATACTAGTATAATATATAATACATTCACCCACAGTCAATACATGACCAAGAAAAGAAAAAGGAGCAGGAAAGCACTAGCAGATTATGATATTGGCTGGCAGATCCAGGACCTCAGCCCTCAGAAGTTGAGAAGGCAACTGTTAGCTGGTGGTTAATTTCCAGAAGGAAATGACAAGCTGCTGATTTATAGGCAAATACGAGATTCAGTTATTAAAAAGACATGGGATGAATTTTTCAAAATGCACTACTGATCTTTTCAGTTTCTAATCATTTTCAAGAACAGGTTTGAAGGTAGTTTGAGGATGCTTGATTTAAAAAACAAGCCCCTCTGAAAGCAGTTATACAGTCCCAAGTACTTTTGAATAACTTGCTCCTTTAGTTGAATGTTAATGTTAAGATGGAGGCAGTACAAAAATCAAATAGTGAAATAAACAAATTACAGGAAATGAATAAACAATTAAAGCAAGTATATTTTTTATTATACCCATCCTGGATTTAAAACTTCATTGACTTTTTCCTTTATAGTGGTTTAAAACATAAAGAAATTCTGTTGATTTAGATGGGCTTATTCCATTCAAAAGAAAACTTAATTGTAAAATACAAAATGTCATAATCTGAAAATGATATAAAAATGAAAAATATAACTAAAATATCTAAAAATATAACTCAGTTTGAAAATCAAAAGTTTAAAGTACAGATGCAAAGAAAGACGCCCCCCAATACTGTTGTATTTTGATTCTAAAACTATTGAAATATTTTTTAAAGTTTTAATCTTTTATCAGGCTTTCAACATAAATATTGAGCCACTGAATAAAACTTGAGTTCAGACAATTTACAGTACTAAAACTTCATAGACATTATTTATTTCTGGTCAAGTTACTGTTAAGTGGTTTTGTTAAAGACTGTGGTCCCTAAAAATTAAAAGAGCTTCACATAGTTTATTATGTAGACAGGTAACATAACTTAGTCTTCATATTAGTTATAGGGTAAGCTAGAATGGTTTTAGACCGTACTGATTTGGGCCCCAAAAGTTTTTGTTCTCTCTTTCACTCAAAAGCCTCTGGTTTGAGAGAATAGTGCCAAAGACATTGCTGTATTTATAATTTAGCAACTATACTAAATGTGAAGTTCATTGCAATTTTGTTGGCAGTTGCTACTATCACATGATAGAAACTATTCAATCAGTGTTTGGCTAAGAACAAATTTACTTTAACAAACCTGAGATAACCTCGGTTTAACTTAAAAATACCACCGATGGTATTTAGTTGTGTAGGGTAATAAAGAAATAGTCAGCTTTTTCAAGTTCTATTTATGTCTTGGGTTGACTCCCAAGGTAAATTGTGGATGATTTCAGGGCTTTTACTTGAAATAATCCAAACCAACAAAATAATATACTTCTCAAAACAGAGGCTTAACTAATCTTTTTCCATTTCTGATATTGCAGTTATAATACAATTTGTTATAATGTAATTTGTTAAAGTAGTGCAGAAACTGAGGCCTGGTGTTAGCAATCAAAAGTAGTTTCATTTTATGATGGCAGAAATGAAACTCTTTAGACTCTTCTTCTTGGAGTATGTTATTTTGAATATATGCTATTTTTGGACACTGCAGAAAAATGACAATTCATAATGTTCTAATTTGGCCAGAAATATGAACCTCAACAGATTAAACCACATGATCATGCTACCAGCTTCTAAGATGCCAAATAGAAAAAAACAAAGAGGTCTCTGTTTCTTGTGAAGAATGATGAACAAAGAGAACTTTTGATGTTTATTCTTCTGCACCCTAAAGAAAGAGGACTGTCCAAAATAGTGCCATTGTGGAGTGATGCAACTAAGACAGAGGATTCAACCTTATAGTGACCTCTTCATTTTCCTTCAGTCCTGTATCAAATTCATCCTACTGCTCTGCATTTAAGAGATTTAGAAAACACTTCTTTAATGGTGTTTAAAGCTCTTATTGCCAGCTAAAGAACAAAGGCTATTCATAAGATTAAATATTTATGACGCATTCCTAGCAATGCCCCTCATATGCATGCCCCTCAAATCAATTGCCTACTCCAAAGTTACATTGCTTGAGAGCTTAATGCATAACACTGAGCCCAGGAAATACAAATTCTTAATTTGTGAGTAAATAATCAAGCTATTCCTCTTCCTACACTTATATATGCTTTTAATATATTTCCAAGAAAAGCAATGTCTTTAGAAAGAATATAAATTTTCAACTGGCATGTTGATATACAGATTTTATTAAGCACAAGGATTATTAAGCCAAACGCATCTGTAGAGGAACTTTTATTTTAGTATGTGTGCCTTTTAAAAGAAAACATTGCCGCCTTTACTAATTGCTTTCCATCGTCTTTTTAAAGGACCAGGGAAACCAGTAACGAGACAATGATATTTCTTAATAAGCCAGTAGAGGGAGCCCCTTAATAGGGCAATCAATTTCCTATCCCAGTCCCCCCGTTGCCGTTCCTGAAGTTTCTACTATACATGAGGTTAAAGTGAGATGAAATGCGAACGTAGCCAGAATGAATCATTCTTTAGTTGTGTTTCGCAGGCTAACAAAAGATAATTAACAAAACTGTAATTTTGTATCATGCTTTCTTTTTTTGAGAACAAAGGAGACTAATAGCTAAGTTCCGGTGGTCTGCCTTCCCTACTCCTAAATTAATACAAAATGACCCCTCAAAGCTTCAGCATGTGTTTAAAGTGCCTTTCTGATACAATGCTGTGCAGTTTCAATTTTACTACAAATGCATCACACAAACATCTGTGACTCATCTATGCATGAAGATAAAAGGGGGGTGGTCTAATGAAGGCTGAGAAGAGCCAAGAAAGAAAAGATCACTATATCCAGAATTTCTTTATAAGTAATTTTATGAGACAATCTCAGAATCAGCATAGATATCAGCCTTGGTTTATAGTGCACAAAATGGATCTTCCAACTATGTTTCTATACAGTTCTTTCTGAGAGCAGTTAACCCAGTAAAATTGGATATGCTCCATGTTGTACCACTCAGCTTATTTTCTTCGAACATATGTGTTTACTTCTCAAACTGAAACAGTAATCTTGCCATTGTCTTTTGTAATCTGTATTTGTAATAATGCAACATTGCTGACATTGCTAACAAACCACTGAGTTTACTGAGCAAAGGGGACTACTCTGACAACATTGCTTTGATAACACAGATCTTAGTAAGTCCAGTTCTCATTAGTTCTATGGGAGGAGGACTAAAGGGGCTAATCGTTTTCTCTGCATGGGTATTTTGAAAATCCTTTCCCTGTTGTGTACCAAAGCACTTAAGTAAATACATAAAACTAAGCTTAAGTTAATTACTGATTATTTAAGTAAATGCTAACAGATTTTGCTGACTAGCAATGCTCTTAAAGCAGGGGCTTGAAATCAAATCTGTGCTCAGTAGATTGAAGTCTAACGAAAGACTCAATATCGAAATCTTTACTCAAGCTTAAATTTGTAAAATGAAACCCCAGTTCCACTAAAGTCAATAGAAAAACTCCCTGTGACTTAAAAAGGATCAGGGCTTCTGACACTGGCCTAGGAGTTTTGCCTGAACACGGCTATGCAATGGATCCAAAAGTTTTTATGGAAAGACTAATGTGAAGGAAAACAGACATTTGTATCTGTGGACTTTGTTGAGGTGCAAGATTTTCAACATTGCTGAAAACAAGCCTCTTCCTACTAGTAAGAAAAGCACAAATATTAACTCCCCACTCCCCAGCTGGGGGAAATAAACTGATGCCGATCACTTTCTCATATCCCACCTCCAGTATGGAGCTATTTTAGGACTCAGCCTTTGAAGGAAGTCCTTTGTTCACTTAGAAAAATAAATATAAATTCTCTTTTCTTTACCTGCACTGGTGCCTGCACCGGTTGTGAGGTCCCCACCCATCAGGCCACCTAGGGGGTTGAAATGAAATAGTACAAATGAGCACGATAAATTATAACAGGCAAACATTCAAAACATTTTCTCTAACTTCAAACGGCCTGCTCCAGTACCCACCACTGTTTTCCTCTTCAACTTTTGCCTAACTTCAACAGGCATCGGATCAGACTCATAGTCATAAAATTGTAATGTTTAATGTTAACCATATGAGATATTTGCCTTTCAAGGACAAATAAAACATGTTGTATACAACATTTCATTATTTTATTTTCAGACTTCCACAGTGTTATGTGTAGTAGTCCTTCATTTGAAAACTATCTTTAGTTCAGTATTAGTCAGAAAAGCGAAGGCTTCCACATAGAGTTGGGAGTAAGAGACTGAAAGTTCCTGCATGAGAACGTAAATCAGAAGCTATAACATATATTTACATAGCTTTTCATTTTAATTTCCTCAGCCTTTCATAGACATTCACTTTAAGGACTTTTAAAGCTTCTCCTTGCACTTGAGGACCTCAAATGGTTCTTTGAACCCAGTATCCTTAAGGATCTTGATGTTGCTTCAGCCAAACAGATTGAATGAACTTAATCCCCATTTATCCTATTCAGAGGTGAGCCCTCGTCATCACCAGAGCAAAGCACAGCCTCTTGCTATACAAAGCACTCAAGTACAAAGGTCAACTAACATTTACCCATCAAGGAACCCATGAATGCATAAATAATAATAAATTTTCCGTTTAGCCTCTAGACTGATGACTTAAGTAATGAGTGTCCTATTTTACTTGCTTCAACTTGTTTGTGTTGGCTACATTTTCTCTCCTGCCCCCTTAAGCTTTATGGAATCGTGAGTTCTTGCATGAATTAAGTAGACAAGCTGCCTTTTTATGAAACAGCAAATTGTCTGCCCTTTTATCCTTTATTGATTTCCTTTAATCTTAGTCAATATTCAGCTTTTTCTAGAACTTTTATTTTCTAAATTGGGAATAGAAACCCCTTTGGCTCTTCTTTTGATTTTTCAACACAGCAATTTTGGACAAACTGTTACGACCAGTAAAAACAGAGTTCTTGTTTCTCAGAGTACAGTTTAAAGTGACCTAAGGCACACAAGCAGCTGATAAAAAAGCATTTAAAGGGATGGCATTGAACAGAGCCTACCTGTGTTACCTGCACTTGGAGGCCGATGTGTCACGCCAGGAGACATGCTATTTCTTTGCAAAGAAGGATGAGCCAGCGGCAAAAGGTTGGGGTTTCCCAGTGAGCTGACTGGGTTACTGTATACCAAACTGTTGTGGTTGGACACTGGGATAGAAACTGGCATCTCAAAGTTTGGTGGTGGAACAGCCTGTACAAGCAAAAAAGGGAAACAAAGACGAGAATAGTACAGAAGCACAACAGCCTTCAAGTACAGTTACTCTATATTTAGTTCAAATATTTTGTAGTTGGTGGTTAAAATATTTACGCTCGTCCCCCTCCCCCAAGAGTCAAGAGAAGAGTTTCTAAAGAGTTACCAAGGCTTTTAAATATGATTTTTTCAAATCATGATTCCATCTTCCTTTAATGCAGCTTGCACATTTACTTTGTAAGAACTGGCAAGGTTTTTTCACTTTTTTTTTGTTTAAAACAAAACCCTGCTTTATGAGGCTTAATTTTCTTTTTCTTTCATTCTGTGAAGTCGTAATTGTTCACTTGTGATATCTTAATCTAGTGTCACAGATGACTGCAAGATCAAAGGCACATGATTATGGTGACTTCATTGCATGGAGAAAAATTAGAAGGTGTAGAATGCAACAGGGAAAGCTTTAATTTCAGCTTATGTTGCTTTAGCAACCAGAATGATCCCAAATCACCTTAAAGGCACCAACACAGTAAACTACCTTTTTTTAAGTTTCTATCTTAGCTTGGAGGGGCTTAAAAGAAACAAAGTTCTACTCAGGGACAGGTAGCAAATACAAGAACTTCAGATGCACACTAGTCTTTGGGTTCTTTGTGTTTTTGTTTTTTTTGGGGGGAAGGTGTTTATTTTTGGTTTTGGCTTTTTTTTTTTTGTTGCGGGGGGGTGATGGTGTTTGGTGATGCCTTTTCACTATACTGTTTTCATACTTTAAGGCAGGATCCTCTCCTGAGCCACTTTCCTTTGCAAGAATCCCTTTCAAAAAAGAACCAAGTTATGGACCACTGTGACAGAGGGTGCGACGAGCTGCAGCATCTCACTCTGATTATGCTCTTAGAAAGCCCAACTTAGGTTTTCTCTTGGTTGGTTGGTGGGTTTATTGGCTGGGGTTTGCTTGGGTGGCAGTTGCCTGAATTTCTCTAAAATTTATAACTCTGGTGGCATTCAAATACATTAGAACTCCATATTTAATTTACCTGGTTTAAAAATAATTATTTTTTTGTCATTGTGAATGGAAAGAAAACTTTTTCAGAATTACCTGACAGCATTTAAAATACACAAATACCTGAATGGAAATGAAGTACTCCTTAATTTACCATTTAAAAAATCTTACAAGTTTCAAGTGTCTAAACACATAAAAATATTCTTTAAACCAGCCTTGTAACATCTTCAGAGGGAAGAAATCACAGAGTTTAATTTTGTTCTTGGCAGCTGATAGTACTGGTAAGTCTTCAAGGACCTAGAGGGACTATGTTGAGAGCTGGACACATAATCTGCTGTGTCAGTCAGCAGAGGCACCCTGACCTTGTGCCACCCACATGTCTCTTCTCTGGCTGGCCAGAGCTGTTGGCTGTGCCCTGTGTATTACAGCGCTGGCCATCAAATTACCGTTATCCCTTAAGATTTTTTTTGTCCTCTTCCCTTCCTGGAGGCAGACATAATTTTGCTCTAAATATAGAGGAATCATTTTGCTTAACCACTGAAACACACAGCAAGATTTTAGTTCAGGGTATGATGTGAAAGATACATTACACAAATGCCTCAGGACTTATTTCAAGGTGTTAATTTATCTCTGAAACCCTCTACATAGCCTGTGGCCTAGGTTTGTGAAAGATGGCCATAGCATAACAGTTGAGATCAGGTAGGGTACTTGAGTGGACAGACCTGCTGGCATTGCTCCCCATCCAGGGCTGCATGCTGGGACTCGCTTGCCTTTGCTGAGAAGCTGAGTTGCACCCCAAGGGCCATATTGTCCATAGAGTTGATTGGTTTAAGTAGAGGTGGGAAGGGGAGGAGAGTTGTCTTGGTAATCTATGTGTTCAGTGGGTAAGGAGCAAAACTACACGTGCTGCTAGGTCTGGGTAGGGATCCTGAAACACACTAGTGTTTGTGTCTCACAAATAGAAAAAAGAAAACACATGATTACATGATGAAAAATGTAATTGCTGAAGTATGTTCTTTATTTCTTTCAGAAGCAACCTTTCTTTTGCCTGCAGATGTTTTTACAGTTAAAGTCCAGCTCACTAGATGCATGTGTGTCTTGTCTTTTAAAGGAAAATTTACAAAGTACATAGCACAAGGAGTACCAGTATATGTCCCAACTGAGGTCTAGGCTCCTTGGAAACAGGTTCACATAGCATAACCTGAAACATTTTATCAGCCTGAAGGTATGCTTTGAAGCCAGACATTCTCTTCACTGGCCACAGAAGGATTCAAGTGGTTTCCAAATCCCATGTAAGTCAGAAGTGCATGGCTGCTCCTGGAGCTCAAAGCCAGATGCTGCTGCTGGTTTCTGCCTTTTTGAAAGGTTTTAGCCAGTGAATTCACATGAGGATAGATGTCTCATCTCCACCTCCAGCCTGATGTGAGACATGAATAAACCAACATGGAGCCTCTTGTTATTGCAATGTTCAGGGCTGTGGTGGAGATCTCTCTGCCTCGTAGCTTTGAGCACATGATCCTGCTTGCTTGAGTGCCAGCCCATGGCAGATGGAGTGTCACCCACTGGGGAGCACTTTGCACAGTGTCTTCTTTACCTCTGTCATGAGATCTGTGAAATCTGCCCTCTGAGCCTGGGTAGACAGCTGATGACACCAATATTGTCTCTATTTTCTCAACTTATTTTCCTAATCCCAACCTCTGTTGAGCTATCTAAACTAAAACATGGGTACAAACGCAAATCTGAAGGTCTTGCCAATCCTCAACAGGCTCATCTACTTTCATCATTATGCTGTGTATTTCTTCCATGTACAAAGCAAACCCTTCAAGGGCTGCAGTCTTCTTTTTCTACATTAGTACAGCACAAAGGAGCTCCAGTACTGGTTGCTCTTGTGGCTGCCAGTCTCACTAGTCATCACTGAAACATATAGGCATTGCTAAAACAGATACTTAGCATTCCTAGTTTAATAAAATATCTTAGTTTTAAATCATATTTTAGAGTTTAATTAAATATATATTTTAATTGAATTACAAAAATATTTTTTTAAACTAGTTAAGCAAATTATTTCCTTAATTTCTGTAGTAATTGTTTCATTTTCACCGATCTACTGTCTGGATAGACTTACATCTATTTGCAGAGTACTTCATAGGCAATTTTATCAGGGCAAAGTCCATTTACTCTCTGCTTTGCAGCACAATACACACTAGATCTGGAACACAGTAGTTTTTATTTCTTCTCCTCAGTACTCAAAGGTTAGAGAGAGAAGTTCATCTGGATAAGTACCAGTATGAAACAGTGATTCTCTAGCTACAGTTTTGCTCCGGTTGCCCA